ATGCATAGATTATTTTCAGCGTAGAGTTTGTCAATCACAATAGCAGAAGGTGAGAAAGAGTACTTCTCCTAGTTTGATTTTCTCATCCAGTCAGAAAAGTGTTATCTGAGTATCGCAGAAATTCATTGATAGATTTACTTGGGTGAGGTGTTCGTTATTTTCTCCCTAATGAGGATATCACGAGGATATATTACTTTTGTGAGGTAACATCACACGGATGAGAAATCATTGTTGCCGAACATATTATTGTTGGAAGATGAGATTCAATCGTTATCATTCAAAGAATATGCAGTATTATGACTTTTTCGGAAACCTGAGCTAACGTAGCTATGTGAACAGAAATAATTAGGAGTTTTTCGGTCTCACTGCAAAACAAAAAACGCAGTGATTGCATAATTTGCATCTCCCCACTAACCTTGTGATGTACTTTCGGATCTTTTCGGCTGTGAGAAGAGTTTCTGTCAATATTCATACTGAATTTTTCTTGGACTCTCACCTAAATTTCGCCTGTAATTTGTGGAGAGCAGACGTCTGATGTAAACAAATTTCTAGGTAACTGCATCCAATAAATCCCTAAATCTCCAGTTGAACTTTTGCGTTGAATACTCCACCTACAATGACAACATTGCGAATAATTCTAGATTAAATAGAAATTCAGTACAGATAAGAAAAAATAAAACCAATGGAACTACGAAGACGCGACTGCACACAACTTTGATCACTTCAAATATTGAATGCAGATTGTTTGAGTATTGGAAAGAGACACTGTATTTTGATTCAGATAAGTCATAACTTGATGATGTTGTTGATGAATTTTTATTTAATGTATTGTTATTAACTTGAACTTTGAAAAAACCAAATAGGTTTCAGCGACAAAACTCCATCTCACCATATCCTCTGCAGCTTGCCACAGTTGGCTCTGTGACTGCTCACAAGGTTTAACTTTTCCTCCTAAGACACCGCCTGATTGTTGTGGGTAGTTTCAGTAATTTAAATGACTGAATATCTATCGCTGATGGCAGATTGAAAGTAATAAGTAGGTACAGAGCCCATCAACAATTTCAGCGGGATAACAGGATGCGCTATCGTTTTCCAAACAACATTCAGACCGAGAAGCCATTGTTGATATCGAATCATTCTGATTTTGAGGCTCAATTTGTCAATGACGAAAGAGTGAATATGTATAATTTAGGAAATTAGAAATAAACAAGGAGCTAAATGACCAGATCTCTTGCCTAAGTCAAATTCAATATCACTCACACATAATGTTAAATTAAGGTTGTAACATTCCTATACATTTCACGACTTCATCACCAGCACTGTACTTGAGACACACGGAATCATAACATGAGATTTGCGAAATATATAGACATTCGATCATAGCATTGGTAATTCATCTCCCCTAGTCTGGACATGATTACTGAACACTAGTAGGTCATATGTTTTAATATGGATTCACGGAAGTAATAAATTCGAGTTGAATAAGTTGAAACCTTTACAAGGCCTCAACATTCATGTCACACTATAAACAAGTTTTATTGTTAACGCCGCTGCTATCTAACTGTTGAAGAGAAGAATGCATGTAGAAATCCAATTCCTTACAAAACGTATTGCAGAACATATCTCAATACTAAGTGAGCTGATGGAATTCTCGATGAGCTTATCAACTATCTCTTCTGATAAGAAGAAGAGAAAGAGCCAGCATCAATGATCACTCATGTCCGTGAGCACATAATTCTACCAAAGATCAAACCCAAGATTTGGATACGTTACGTAGACGACACATTTGTAATTATCAAAAGAAACGAGTTAGATAAAGCTAAGTCAAGCGAACAACGACAGTGGAATTAGAAACTCAAGTCTATAGAAAATCAACCCACACAGACCAAATCCTGAATTACAACAGCAACAATCCAATAGCACACAAGAGGAATTGCATACAAACACTATTCAAGAGAGGCAGGACTCATTGCAGCACTCCCACCTCAAGGAAAATTGAAGAAAAATATCTCATGGACATCTTCCAAAAGAATGGATATCCAAGGAATTTCATCAAAAGACATATACCTCCAAGCCAGCCTATCAAACAAAAAGCCCCCAAGGAAAGCACAAAGAAAATCGCCTTACCATATATAAAAGACATCTCAGAAATCACTACAAGACTCTTCAAACCTTTAGGAATTGACGTCGTACACAAACCAACAAAGTCACTTCACTCAATTCTATGTCAACCAAAAGACTCAACAGCGAAGGAAGATAAAACCAACATCATCTACAAAATAGATTGTATCAACTGCGAAAAACACTACATTGGCCAAAGTGGACGTCTCCTTCGTCTTCGTATCCACGAACATAAGCTAGCTGTCAAAAGACATGACATCCATTCCCTCATATCACTACATACAGACAACCACGGACATCAGTTCGACTGGGACAACGTTCAAATATTAGACAGAGGAAACACCAAGAATGCTAGAGAATTTTTAGAAGCTTGGTATTCCAGTGAATCATCAATCAATAGACACATCGAGATAGACAAAATTTATCAACCGATAAGAAAGAATAGTCACACACAAAGGGTCAAAGTTCAAGTCAAAGAAACAATGAGTGACAATACAAGTAACCTAGAAGGTGTGAAAACACACAAAAACAACCAATCACGTCCAAGTTCGCCAGGAGAGATGATTAATAAACTCGTGGAGAAATCTAAAAGCTCGCTTCAAATTGAAGTATACGCTGAAGATGTCACCTAGTAGGGTGATGAAAGCCTCGCAAATTAAATATCCAGCTCAGAGAAGACAACCACATCAAAATAATCCACCTGAGCTACAAATCTTCTCTATCATTTCTAAACATTCTCATTAACTTCACTTTGGTTCGCTTCACTTCTCTTTAAAGCAATCAGCATCAGACTGTTTAAACAGGATAGAGAAGCGAAGGATCACACTGAATCGCATATAAATATCAGCGAAGATGGCTGTGAGATATTGTGATATGACTCAAGGCAGTGACGTAGCTACTCACATCACATGCTTACAGCGAAAATACTGATTCTACACACAATTGCAATATCACTCACAGTTTCTCATCCACTTTCCTCGAATTCACTTCAACAGTTTCAGTGAGATAATAACCGCACAAAGTACTGAATAGAAACTTTCGTCTTCTGATAATTGTGATAGCTGTTTGAGGGAATATAACCAGATATTAGAATCAGCCATAATCATTATTTCTAAAATTATTTCAATCAAGGAATCTGAGTTTACACCAGGTGATAAGTGAGGAGACACCAGTCACCATAGTGTATTCAAAGCAAACATCATCTATTGTAGCTTATGAAGACCCGTTAGCTTGAAAACATCACAACTGATATTCTGCAAGGCTCTTTGTTTGAACAATTATTCACAAAGGTCATTTGTTATGGTGATGATCTGGAATTATTTCTGTCATCTCCACAAACACGTCTGCGCCAAGTGATCGCGAAATAGAATCCCGGAGAAATTCTGGGAGAGTTCTCAACGGAATTCTGACTCTTGTCTCTGAGAATCAATCTACAGGACATTGTGATGTAATTTTCAATACCTAAATTTGCATCGATGGTCACCTTTCAGAAGTAAGTCGATTCTGATGCACTCCTCATCCTCAAGGATATCCGGGATATTTGCCTCTGATATAATCGATGGTGAACTGATGACACTCAGATGAGTCCTCATGGAAAACGAGTATCCTTGAAGATTCTTCGAGGAAAACATGAGAGGAAAGGGAAAACCCTAAAGGACTCAGACGGTGCCGAAGAAACTGCTATTCATGAACGCTGAATTTAAAGGTGATGCCGCAGCCAGTTTACTTGAGAAATGCTTATCAATATCACGGATCACATTTTTAATGTCGACCAATGAGCAATGGATTTGTATATGACGAAGTGCCGTTAATTGAATGTGTGTTCCTGTCAAGCTAGTTATATTGGCTGCACTAACTGCACACTTTCCAAACGCATCTGTGAACATTATCTGGCATGATTGGCAAAAAGACAATGCAATGCAATTACTGGCTGAATTCTCGAGCACTTGTCGGGCCACTCAAGCCACACAATGACAGGTTCGTCTTTCGAGATGATCTACAAGGTGAGGTGAAATTGTACAACGGGTGTCAGGTTTCAGCATTTGTGTAACGCGGAGACGTTAGCGATTCGTGAATGCAAACCGAAACTCTGCATACAGAATGTGGTTGTCAAGTCTGTTATTCTAGCACGATCTTGACTTCTTCATTATTCGTTTCTTGTTGATTCTCCATTTAAAATGATAACTTTGCTTTAACTTTATTAATAGATTAACTATTATCACTCTCACATGTTCCTTCTGTACATTTTCTCACACTTGTTTAATGACCAATAAATTATCTTCCTTTCTCACTCAATAACAATTTCAACCTCAGCAAAATTTCTGACGCTTCCTTCCATTGTGTCATTAACTATAACGTTATTTGAAGCTTTTATTTTTACTTTTGAAGCCACTTCCAATTACTTTTTCTAAATTATGTCAACCCTACTACTCAGTCACTAATGGACTAATAAGCATTTTCGATAAATATGAATACGACTGTACAGCCACCGAAGATGACTTCGTCGATGAAGAAAATTTTCTGCTCTGAATTGTTTTGAATTAACCGAATGAATCAACACTAAACTCACACTTGAGTTTCATCGACATCTAGCAGGAATGGTTCTATTAGACTGACTTGTTAACTAAGAGAGAATATTAATTGTAGCGTGAAAACAAGAATACTAAAGTGATGCTGAACATTTGCCAACCAACCAACCCACGCACCCACTCATCAAATGACTTTACCAACCACCAATAACTAATCAACACACTCGCCTCATTCAACAAATGGAAAACAAGATAAGCACTACTACTATTTATCAACCAACAAACGCATTACAACACTACAACTCACCATCAGGAAGAATATAAAAGCTGGAGAATTGGACCAGAGTAAACTAAGGAAGGTGAGAATATGTTCAACTCAATTTACATTTACATATCCATGATAACGCTGCTGGTGTTTGCCACCATGAACGAGGGTAAGCGAATATTGAAATGACTGTGCATTTTTGACTCAATCTTTTCAAATTATTCTGTTCTGCAATATGATGAACGTAATTGTTTTATCAAATCAGTGTTATGTAAGACTATTCCGTGATCATACTTCTGAAGGAAAAGTGATTATGTCACCAACACCACTTTCAGATCACCTAAACACATCATTTTCCGTCATTGACGAATAATAACTCGATGTCGATGATCTCTTCATTTCCGAAATAGGAAATGAGTGCAGCAAACATTCAATTCTATGCTGTCTGGGAAGTTTAATCCTTCAACTGGTGTTCTGCTCATTAGAGTGTTTCAGTTCTCGAATCAAAAACAAAAATACTCAAATGGCTCTTCAGGCGTCTGAAATTAACAAATTCTTACATAGTATTCATTTGTTATTAAAGTTACGGTGTGTGTAACGATGGCTGTTCTCTTCATTTTGTCAATTTTCAAGGTGAATCGACTAAGTTAGAAGACATCAAAAATGCGATTTCGTATGCTCGAAGTAAGACGACTGACTTTATGTGGATAAATATCATTGTTCTTATATTAACCCACACTAGCTTTTGGGTGTGTACTGTTCCTCAATATTTCGTCACATCCTATTGCTTTCAACAATCGATGCTAAATAATTTTCGCTTTCCTTTTAATAGACCAATTACTCCAAATAGCTCAGATGGTTATCAGCAGAGAAGCAGCGATTAAACAACTGAAAGGTAAACATTTATTTCAATGTGATTGATAATTTGACTTGGTCTACTCGATTTCTGCATCCCCTGTTCTCATGAGATATTTGTTATATTTTTTGGAGTTTTTACCTATAGGCTATTTCGTGTCAATGCTTTGACTTTTGATATTGTGAATACATGGAGCCAGCTGACATGAGATATACTCAAATGAGGATAATATATTAGTGCCACGCGAAAAATGATGGACTTATCAACACGCATCTACCTGATTTCCCAATTCACTTCACATTTATTCACATTCGCTTCAATCGGAAATTTCACACGTTCATGTCCATGACATTCACTCTGTTGTAAAATGAATACAATACGGTGTAGGGGTGCTCCAATAATAGCCAAATAACTAACTGTTTTCTACATGCTGAATGTGGAATTTTGTGCAGGTGTCCGGTGTCATGCAATCGATCTTATCACTCCTCTCTTTCACTAGATAAGATTATTCTTGAAACTGGAGGAAAAGGCAACAGCACCATTGAGAACTGTGAGTGATGGTTTGATGAATTTCTATGACTAACAAACTCCTTCAGATATCAGCTGTTGGAAAACGCATTATGAAAACTACTTTGGACACATATTATTCGAAGGTATGTTCCAAGATATACTTCAGCTGTATATACTGCCTTTATTTGCATGGGTACCGGATGAGTTTTGGTTGTTGCTCTTGTTTGAAATGTTCCAAATTCGGATTGAAGATGGCAACTTTGCAGCCAGAACAATTCAGTGAGATCCTACAACTATAAAACTACACTTGCGGACTTGAAACAATTATCTTATCTAATGAGATTGCTCTCTGATTTAATGTTGACAGCTATGTTATCCATTGAAGCTGTTAAAAAGGATACATTTTCGGGAAATTCACTTCTGCTTTCTTCGAGATGTTATCAAATTGCTTCAATCTACATCCCAGTTTGTCGCACACACTATCTGATCCTTCCATTTGGATCACCATGTTCGAAACTCTGATGTCACGCGTCATTTATGTAGGTTTAGTCGCCGATATCGATCATTAGGCAAATGACGTCAACTAAACATTCCGATGGAATGAACACTTCATTGACTCGATAAAGTTATTCATCGTGAAGCTGCACGGAGAACAACCTAATGGAAAGTGAACGATTGAAGAGAATCATTTTCGTCTTTAGATGTAATTATGAATAATAAATTTCACGAGAACTGGGTGTTTTGAGCTGGTCAGTGTAATTACATTGTGATAAGCAATAGAAGAGATTGACAAATTACGGTTGAGTATACCGTGGAATTAGTCAGCTCTGATGTTAATCCACATACATTACAGTTATAAACTCTGCATTACGAATTATTCTTTTACATGATCTCCTAATGTCAGTTATCATTTTCTGTCTTTATAGAGGCCAAAAACGGACCTGAGGATTATGGTAAATTGAATTTAAGTCAGTTGACTTCATGTGATGTTGTTGTCACTTTATCTACATCCAGTATATAATTTGAGTGTTGACAATGCTTCTCGAGTTACAATGCATTCATTGAGTTTGTTCAACAGCGACAACCGCATGGAATTCGACAAACAATTATCTACCTCAATGTGTTATAAGTGTTACTCATTGGCATATAAACGCCTCATCTAGTTAACCGAACTTAACATATGTCATATGATAAGGAACTACTGCATTTAAGCGATGAAGTTATCCCTGGGTATCGTGTAGTCAATTCATATTCGAATTGCGTTACGCTCACCCTCTATTTACCAACCATCGTACCGTCTTTCCATACTCTCCCTGATCCCTCCAGCAAAAATACTTCCTGAATTTTTACTCAAACAATTTATCAGAATTACTACTACTCAATGATAGTGGTTTTTCCAGTGTACATGATGACCACCGGAATTGGATCGTATATTTTACAGGCCATTTTGTGAAAAACATTCATCATTGTGTTACTGCACAATCTGAAACCAGAGTTATCAAAGACAGTTACCTTAGTCCATATGGTCGCTTCAGAATATTTCTGACAGGAGCATCTGAATCATTCACCAATCAGGATATAAACTCACTCATTTATCTGACAAAACCTTCAGAATATAATGAACATGAGTTGATATGTTGTTTAAAATACATTTTACATACAGGTACCTTCACTGTGAAACATTCTCTCCGACAATGTATGAAGAAAGAGGCCAATGCTCACACAGGTAAACAGTTTAGCTTTGAATCCTTCCTTCTCACTTTTCCAATAAACATTCCTAACTTAACTTGTCAGTTACGTCGGCATCAACTTGAGTTTTGAACCCACCTGATTATCTCAGACACAAACCACAGAGTTCAGATTGGAGATTTGTAACTCCAGATAACTTAGTACACATTGATTTGTGTGTGTTTTTACATTCAATGGTCTGTAGTTGCATGAGTATTTGTTATTATTGGTAACTTCAATGAATGTTTCCCTTCTCTTTGTTTCAATATGCTGTTCTTCCCTTCTGTTTCTTCATCAGCTCAATGGCGATCAGTATCAGCAGCAGTCGACTGTGAACATTATAAACCATCAGGAAACAAAAAAGGTAATCTACTAATGACAACACTCTTAAATTAAATTATGTAAGATCACTGCTTTGGAGGATATTGTGAAAAATTTTTGAATTTCATTAGTTCCATTTTCGGAAGTCAAATGAATTCTCAGATGAGTTTCTTTCACAGGATTCACATACCTTTCGATCTGGTGGCGTTGTCAATGAATTCGAAGTTGAGCTACCAATGTGCAGGATGCAACATCAAGTGTGAAATCAGACTGCTTTCCTTCCAATGTCGCTATCACACATTACATCTCTAAAGTGCAATGACGTGAAATCTGAAGTCTATGAAACTATCTGACGCAGTTGAGATTGCATTTGATGCAATTTGAATACTCCTGTATATTGACAAATAAGGTAGATTTTTTAGTCCCCTGACACTGATGGAGTCAATATTATTCAACACATAACGAGAGGGGATTAAGGGTTTCTCGAAAGTACTTTCACTGTCTTCAAAGACGTTCAATGATCGACATTGAAGTGAATGAACACGTAGTCGTCTGCTTAAACAACAACACACTAAACCAAACCATCAATTATTGCACAGTATTCTGCATGATCACTTTTCACTTTTTGATTCTGTGATATTCAATTTTGAAATTCAGACATTATTCTTCAAATTTCAGATCTTCAGGAATTGAAGAGTAATATAGAAATTTCATACCGCCGCAGAATGCTCTTTGGTAATATTATGTGTAAGTTCAATATGTTTTGTTCATGAGTTTTACACACTGCATTTATGCATGAATATCAATTCACAGGATTAAAGCACAAACAATTACGTGATATTCTGTGTAATCAGCGATCGTTTTATGTGCGAAACTCCTTTAGATAACATGAATAATATTGGCTTGATAATCGCTATATATTTAAAACCGAAATCGATAATAGAATTATCTTGGAATAAGCAGGTTCTTGGAGAGCTGTGCATCACTTAGTAGTCGGTGCGCGACGCTCAGTTGTATATAGGTCTAAACACTGAAGAATGCCAATCGACCACAGAAAGCTAGAATAATCTGAAATGTCGACAAACGGATCACTTCCCAAGTAGAAATCATCAAAATGTTCGGAGGTGACAGTTTATTTGCACAAAGGCTGACCTTATGCACATCCACACACAAGTGACTACTACTCTGTTGTGCAACGTGAAAATGCAAAGAAGGAACATGATCATTATGAGTGTTTGCCTGACAATGGAGTAAATTTAGGAGAAAGTGATCGGTTGGGGAGAAACTGTCCGATGTGTTCACACGTGTGTTTATACGTGTCTTGGAGACCAGCCGTCACATTTGTCAAAATCAGAATCAACAACCATAACAACAGTGAATCGTCATCACAACGCAGGTTTTGGAATAACTGCCGCCTTCAGTTCTATACCAGTAAACTACCTAACACATGAGTGTTACCACAATACACGAGCAGTGTTGAATGATTGAGCATGAAATGTTTTTCATAAAATGATTTGTATATACACACACACTTATTCAGCGTATTTTATTACTACTGATCAGATATAATCTTTTGTAAAAGAAGGAATATGTATACTGATAAACAAAGCTTGCTTTCCTTCAACTAACACGTCACCTTTACATTGCTCTTTCATTTTGAAGTGCTCAAGAAAATTCATGAAACTCTCGCTGAGAAGTTGACACGTAAGATTTACCTTCTTTCTCATACGAACTCCCACATTTCATTTTTCAAAATTGAATCATGAGAGAAACTGCAATCTCATCCTTTTGGATAATTGTGTATAACTGAAATTGAAATGCAGTCCACGTGAAAGTAGTATTATTTGTATTCCGAGCACCAGAGACAAGAGTTGCATGTATCGGTGTATCATCATTTTATTCATGTAATATCATATCACATGGAATCACACTCAGTATTGTGAAGACAATCATACAGTGTATCTCAGATTTGGCATCCACAAAACTCAACCGATGACTTCTTCACAGCTGAACACTAGTTGTGGTCATGTCGATTCGAACCATGTCGGACATTCCCAATACACCTTCATTGACAGCCGCACCCACATCCACACCTGCATTATTGCGAATGACTGAATTTGCGATATCTGTCATGTAATGAATGGATTAGGATTACTGGATTCACTGTCTCTCAGTCATTCTGGGTGTGGAATAATGTTCACAACAGGCGTTGCTTGTTCTTCATGTCCTAAAGTTTACATCGGTAGTCAAAACTTATCGATTCATTAATGTGTCTCTCCCAATACTCGTAACATTCAGCCTCTTTTACCTTCTCATGAAATCATAAATGCTCATCTGCTTTTATTTTCTCTACAGGAGTAGGCGGGAGAAACTAGACAAGAATGTGAATGTCCTGCTCATGCTAGCATCGGAAACGTGTATTCTGCATATTACTGAAATATATTGATGTGCAGTGGAATTCATGAAAACATTTACTTAAATAACTCTTCTTTATGTTAACGCTTACTGTCTGCTTTCTAAATACAATTTAATCAATCCAGTTAATTAACTTATTCCGACTAATCAGATGAATTCAGTGTTCTCAGTCTGAGTCATTTGCATTTCTATCGACATTAACAAATTCAAATTCAAGTGATGGTGTGTGGACTTCAACATTTTATTTCATCAGTTAAGAAGATTTTCATTTTATTACGGTATCAGTGAGGTTGGCCAAACTACTTTGATCAAATCAGGAGCGTTTGTGTTGCTTATTGACCACCTCAATGGTAACAAAATATGAAAGAATTGAAATTTGATTCATTTGAACATGATGTGACTGAATGGGCTGACATGCAACCTGATATCGAAGCCTCAACACTTGTAATCCAAGTATTTGTCGGTAGTGATCGTGGCCGTAAAATTGAAGCAGTATGGTGGTAGGTCGAGTCGCTGGTAGCACTTACGCCGGTTACGTATTCACAGATCTCGAGATTTCAAGGTGCAAAACACTGATTGCAGGATGACGAGATAATATTTTCACCATCAGAAATTATATGCATAATGAAATGTCCGTCTCGTTTGAAAATTCCCTATTTGGATATTTTCAAAATCAAAGGAGGCGATACAGCGAAGAGACTCTCATCAAACAGTCGATTATCAAGCTGCACAATCATATATGTATACATATATACGTAGTTATTTAAGAAATTATATCCTGGGAGTAAATCGAAATGCGGGTGTGAATAATGAGCTACTAATAGTGGCATGAACTGCAGGTAAATACTTTCTAATTATACAGACAGTCAAATGTCAATATGCGACTCTGATTGAATTCATTTGATATCAGTGACAAACTAGGCTAGATATATGACAGTTACAGATCAATGACGTGACAGCAAAGCATATCTGTTCACAACTGAACGATTTTCTATGGAGTGCCATTTCCACATATCGTTTTGATATATTCTTTGAAGACAAAAATAGAATAAAACGTCACAAATACAAAATAACCTTGAGTTAAACACGAATACAAAACTAGTAATACTTTGGCTTTTAAAATGCAAAATTAATACAATCAATGAATAAGTGAAATATGAACAGACTGTGCTCGATATACTGCTAGCAAGCGATTGTTAGGCTTACTAAATGTGACACAGCCTAGTGAGAACAAAATTTAGATAAGATTGGTTTAATTCACTCAATCTGATCTAATCATCATTCTACTCACAGGTTTGTTATCGTGCCCATGAAATGAGCACTTCAAACTGATCTAAGAGAATCCATAAATTCCACGTTGTCTCAAGCACTTATTGAGCTTCCAGTGATGACGGTTTACTAAGAGGCTGTTATAATCTAGAGGATTTGCAGTTGTACGACATGTTCGGAATCTCCTTGAAATGAAAAGATTAAAAACATAACTGCTGATTAGTGGTCACAGTAGAAAGCTTTGTAAACTACAGTTAGTAGTCTATTTCATTTGAACAGCCTGTTCTACAGATAACGGCATCGTGATAAAAACGGACCAGTCTATGCATCACATCTGGAAAAGCAAGTGACTATTTGGTGGTGGAATTGAATCAACTTCATACAGATTATCATGTGGAAGTCGAACAGCATTTGTAGTAAAAGATCCAAGTGGCGCGTAATTCCTAAACTGCCGAACTCCCTCTTCAAAAACGCGTCGTCGTCTGAATATCGCTTCAAAATCCTATTCAGACAAAAACAGCTTGTCAGCAGCGCAGATTGACAAGAATGTGTGGGTTATTTCGCGGATAAGTGATTTTAACACGTAATGCGAAATGAAAGTTAAGACCAGTTGTTCTTGTGTAATGTTATACTAAATAGTATTCTGGCTATTCACAAGTGACACTCATTCCTTCTTCAAATATGTCCTCCATTCAATGGTAACCAACTTTGTTGATATTACCCACCTACGTTAATTTAAACAACTTGTCTGTTTTCTGAAGTCTGCGTGTATAATCTGCTCCCGAAAGATAAACATACATTTCCGTTGAAGTTCTCTGCATCCATTGTACTGGCATTCATTTCGAATTGTAGTAATCACCTTCTCATGGTAAAGAGGGATTTACTCTGCATGCCTTCTTTATGCTCCAGTCTGTCCTTCTGTCTCACTGAGAAGTTTTCTCATGCGAACCTATTCATTCTTGATCAATACATCTGCACATTCACGCAGATCTACTCTTGTCTTATTGATAAACGAAGAATGACAGTGGTTTTCACATCATCCAACCTGGACACCTGACTATTTCAAGTTAATTATTTCTGTTCATCGTTAATCTTATGTTCAGTACGTCTCTTAGTCGTCAGCAAGACCAGTGTTCAGGATTCAACGCTCAACGCAAATGTCTGGTTAACAAGATCGAATTCTGGCTGCAAAATTATCATTGCAGACTTCTTACAAGAAATCGAAATGTTCTTTGTTTAGTATTCTCAGAAGTCCACGCATTCTACTTAATGTTAATTTCACTTACCCTGTGAATCAAGGAGTCCTCATCAACAGAAGCACAACGGAATTTCTGCGTGTTGTTTAGATGACGTGACTTACGAGTTGAATGCCAGTTGATAGTGGGTGCTGTGTAAGGCTTACTTGGTATTTTTGTGAACGCTGAAAATGCTTCTGACCTATCTGGCTTTCTGGAGAGGCATATTCATCAGTCAGTTGAAGTTCCATTGAAGTCATTTATGTGAAGCACCACATTGCAATGTCGGAACGTGTAAGCCGCAACTTTTCACTGTCACGATAAAATCCTCCCTCAATGTCCACCGTTATTCAAGACTACATGGATGGTGGGAGACTCCGTACTGTGAAGTGGTGAAGTTGTTATCATCGACGCACATTGCTGATCGATCATTCTGACATCTGATCATGGCGACTAGCATGAAGTGTATCTAGATGCCATTATATGTCACAGTTCACCACCATCACCATCATTACATTGCCACTGTCTGATCTTGTTCCAAGACTCCATAATTTACCTTCAATGTGAATAATTTCGATTGCAATTTAACTTGTTCTCGTGATATGGTCAAGACTAAAAGATATTTTGGACGTTCCGTTCAATTACGATGAGATTCGCAGAAGATAAGTGATAGGAACTAACTTTGCTCACTGAACCCTTCGTTTGTTGCCACTTTTTTTACAAGAAATCGGCGTTCTCAGTTGCCTCTTGTGATAGAAACTGGGGCACCGCACTTATTCCTTCTGTTTCATTTGATCATCAGTCACTTACCACTCAGTGAACCTGCGAGCTACACATCGAATTCGGTTGCTTAATATTCGGATATTTGCTCCATCAACTGTGACTGAATGTACTTCCGGAGTTCAGAAATGTTGCTTCTAGATTTATCACTGGTGATCATTTATCGCTCACTTAGCACACCGCTTTTTTAGTTTTACTCTTTATTAAACACCTTGACAGTTTTGCAGAGGGAAATATGGAATAATCGTTGTTTACTTGTCAGTCAATCAATTGAGTTCTAACACAAACAGACTTCAGTTACATGTTATTATGAGTAGATTCTAATCGATTGCACTTCAGATATTCAGCTGAACACACACAAAGACAACTTTGTCTAAATCATTTCAAAACTACAAACTTTCAAGCCCTCATAGAATAAAGCTGAGAGTGAATTATCTTTATCATGAATATGCTCCCATCCATTTTCCCTAGTTGTTTGATCAAGTCAAATGAAAAGGAAACACTTATCTTGAGATTAGCTGTTTCTTGAAGAGAATGGAAATATCAACATTTATTCTGCCACAGTTCAGTCAAATGACACCAAAAATCAGGGGACTTTCTACTGTTAATGTGTCAAGAAAATTCCCTCATAAGCAGTAAGGAAATCACACCTGCATTAAATTACATTAACTAGTTCAACATATCAATATCATAAGGTGAAGAAATATTGAAGATGCTAACATTCTAACCAGGGTATTTCCGGCCTTTTCGAGTTAGTGAATATAGAAAGACAATACACAAACGGATTTTCAGTCTTCATAATTGTATGACTCGTTGAAACGCTTTGTGTTTACGTGATGCACACTAACTATCATATTTATGTTGAAGGAGTTGCTGTTGATGTTGTTGAAGCTTGATTACATCCCATCTTCAGTCGTTATTCCTATTCAGAAAATAGTAGTCGAATTTCGTGTGTCATGTTTCTTATGTAAAACACTTTTTCAAATGATTTGAACACTATGGAAGT